ATCGGATTCGTCTCCCGGGCCTGGCGCCGCGTCTGCGGACTTCTCGAGCCACGTCGTGTGGACCCGTCACCCCTGGCCAGCGACCCCGCCCAGCTAAAGGTTGCAGTTCTTGCAGATCGGAGCACGTGCGACGCAGTGTTTCAGGCCCGGCACGTGTATGAGGCCTCCGGGGCACGAGAGCGACCAGGGGCCGAAAATGTCCATGCGTTTTCCGGCGCGGCGCCGCAGAAGAGGCGTTCCGCGTCGAGCAGCCCGGGCTACGGCGCTGCGCATTGTCCCGCGTGCAAGGGGAGAAGGAAAAGGAAGAGCGGCAGAGGGGCCCGCAGAGAGAGGAGGGAGGGGGAGCGCTCACGCGGCGGCGTCGCGGGATGCGCGCGGGGCGGCCAGGCTGCGGGGCAGCCCCTGGCAGCGGCGCGGGGCGGCGTCGCGGGCGCACCCAGGGGCGGGGGCAGAGTCGCCGTGCGGGCAGAGCCCAACACGTGGGAGGGGCGGGAGCGGCGGGCGGCCGGCGGACCCGAGGCGCCCGCGCGAGAGGGGAACGACAAAACACAGGCGCCGAGCATACAGATATTCCAAAAATTGCAGGACTTCCGAAGGCGTTCGGCGGCCCGCCGAGGAGCGTGAGGGGGAGAGGGAAGGGGTACTCCTTCCCCTCCTCATATTCCTTCTCCTCCTCCTCCTCCTCCTCCTCCTCCTCTACCTCCTCCTCCTCCTCCTTCCCCTCCTCCTCCTCCTCCTCCTCCTCGTCCTCCTCCTCCTCCTCCTCCTCGTCCTCCTCCTCCTCCTCCTCCTGCCCCGCGGCCATCGACGGAACCTGCCCCAGGCCGTCTTAGAGCCCCTTGTGGGGTGTGCTGGAGCCGTCCTGGGCCGCTCCGAGGCTCTCCTGGGGTTCCCTGGGGTGCCCGGGAGGGCGGTGTACCGGGGCTTCGCCGAAGATGCTCCGTAGGGGCGCGGGGCCTTGGGGGCGGCGATATTTGTACATATACACCGCCCTCACTTCTATACCCCTGATTGGGTGCATGCGCGGCCGTTTTTGCGCGGGCATGCGCGTGCATGTGCGCAGCATGTGCCAGGCATGTTCCCGCCATGTGCGAGCACTTTTGGATGAATGTCCTATTGTGCGCACGTGCCCGGGCATGTGCGGGGTTATGTGCATTGGGTTTTGTTGCATGCATTGTAACGCACATGATGACCGCGCATGCCGACGCACATGCCCGCACGTGCCGGCACATGCGGAATTTTTGCGAACGTCGCAGATCGGTCAATGCACACGCACGCACATGCGTTGAATCCCGCGCCCGCACATGCTCGCACATGCCGATGCACATTCACGCGCATGCCCGCACATGCGGAACATGTGCGGACGTCGCAGATCGGTCAGAGGCACATGCACGCACTCGCCTGTGTCCCCACCTGTGGACGACAGCGCGGGCGCGCACATGCACGCACATGCGCTGAATCCCGCGCCCGCACATGCCCGCACATGCCGATGCACATGCACGCACATACGTTCTCGGAGTTTTCAGGGCTTGCTACTACAAGAGCCTTCAGCGCTTCGTGACCTTCGGGGCCTGGGGGGGGGGTCCCAAAGTTTCCCGCGGCAATCCGGCTCTGGCCTCGGAGATGCCGTGCCCTATTGTGGTGAGGCCACTTTGGCTTGAGGCATTCTCGCAACGCTGACCTCCGAGATGCCGTGTCACATGGTGGTCTGGCTACTTTCGTGTGAAGCATCCTCGCCTGAGACATCGTTGCAACTCTGGCTTCAGAGATGCCCTCAGCTCAGTTGGTCCATCCACCTTTTCTGGAGACATCCTCGTAACTCTGGATTGCAAGATGCCCTGACCTGCGGTGGTCAGCCCACGTTGGCAGTGTGATCTGCACTCTGGTTCCCGAGGTGCCCTGAGAAGGTGGTCAGTTCACTTTCGCCAGAGCCATCCACGCAATTCCAACCTCAGAGATGTCCTGCGCTGAGGTTGTCAGGCCACTGTCGCCTGCGACATCCTCGCAACTCTGGGTGACCAGGGATGCCCTGCCACATGGTGGTCTGGCCAATTTCGCCTGCGACATCCTCGCAGCTCTGGTTTCCGAGATGCCCTGCGCAGGTGGTCAGGCCACCCTCGCCAGAAACATACTCGCAACTCTGACGTCGGATATGCCCTGACCTGCGGTGGTCAGGTCACTCTGGCTTGAGACATCCTCGAAAGTCTTACCTCGGAGATGCCCTGCCCTATGGTGATCCAGCCGCTTTCGCTTGAGGCATTCGCGCAACTCTGGGTCCTCAAGTTCCTTAAGCCCAAATTGTAAGGCCACTGTCACCTGAGACACCCTCGCAATGCTGACCTCGGATATGCCCCCACACGAGGTGCGAATAGTCTTTGCAGGCCTCGATCTACGTGAGGGCTGTGCCGAAAGAGTCGCCGAGAGTTTTCTGGGGGCGTGCTGTCCCATGGGACGCCTCGCGTTCCCACGAGACGCCTCATGTTTATTTTGAATGTGAGTTTGGTGTCCGTTAGGGTCGCGCTGGCCTGGCCTGGCCTGTGCAAATGCTGTGCGTGGCTGTGCGGGGCATGTGCGGAACGTGCGACAAAGCGGGGGCTGGGCAGGCCATGGTCGGGCGGGCAGGGTTCCGAGATGCCCTGTGCTCAGGTGCTCCATCTTTTTTCGCCTGCGGCATCCCCGCAATTCTGACCTCGGAGAGGCCCTGCCCCATGATGGTCTGGGATTTCCTGAACACTGGTGGTCCGGCCATCTTCACTTACAGAAGTGAGTCCTGTGTATGTATATGTATGTATGTATACATATATATATATATATACATAGAAAGGTGCACCCTCTCTATGTACAGATTTATACACATCCATACGTACGTACACATATACCTACATTCATACATACATACATACATCCATCCATACATACATACATACACACATACATACAGTATCATACATACATGCATACATACATACAGACAGACATACATACAAACATGTATAGGTATGTGTGTACATTGCTGAATAATTATATTGCAACGTATATGTGGTGCACTCCGTGTTGTACACGAGATGGTGTGCCAGCTGTGGTGTGCTGTATAGGCCGTGATTATTATGCGGTGTAATTAATTTCTGTTCGCAGTGGGTTGTCCAATCTACTGCTCGCGCAATCATCCCTCCCATCCCAGCAACCGCAGTTTGGTTTGCAAAATCCATGCGGCGGCGATTCTGATGAGTGCTTGGAGTTGGCTGGGGCATTTCTGCGGCCGCGATGCGCTAGCCCGCGCGTGCTCGCGCACGCAGCGAGGGCCCGGTTGGCCAAAGTCAGTGACATTGTTGGCAAAGCAATGGTTGTGTTAAGGATTCGCAGGAGCGCGAGCGCAGACATTTTTGAACCTTGACGTTGCGCCATCGCGTGTGTTTCTATATGCTTTCGGGATATTCGATTTGGGAATCTCTACGAAACCTTAGGTTGTTGATTGATTTCGGCATGCACGCGCGAGGACGCGCGCGCGTGCACTTGGTCCAGTCTTTTGCAAGGGGTTCTTGCGACAACACGCACGCAAGTGCGTTCGAGCGATTCCGACATGCTCGCGCGAGAGGACAATTTGGTAGCAAGTCGTGAAGATGTTGAACCATTTGTGTGTATTTCATTTCAAACGCAAGAGCCCAATCGTAAATGCTTTGTTGAACATTTATGCTGCGAAACCATGTCTGTTAAGATACTTTCGGGGCAATCGATGTTTGAAACCCTTACGAACCGTCGGTTTTCGAAGGATGACGGCATGCGCGCGTGACGACGCGCGCGTGTGCACTTTGACCAGATGTGTGCAAGGTGTTCTTAAAAGTTAATGACATTTGATAAACGAGCGCGCTCCTATTATTTTCACAGCGCCTGAGGGGGGGGCGATGATACCGGCCTGCTTGGGATGGTGTTTGGGATGGGGGGTAGATCATAGTTTTGTTGTTGAAAAGACAAGCAATGTGGTGAAATTGTACGGTGCTGTCAATGTGTATAAACGACGGGCGGCGACGAGGCGGCAACAGGGTGGTGACGGCGACCACAGAGCTGCCAGACCGCCACGCAGGCAGGCTCAGATGACGGGCGGCGACGTGGCGGCGACGGGGCGGCAACGGCGACCACGGAGCTTCCAGGCCGCCACGCAGGCCCAGACGACGTGGCGGCGACGAGGCGGTGGCGGGTCGGCGACCGCGGCCCCGGAGCCGCCAGAGCGATGCCGACGACGCGGCGACGGGGCGGCGGCGCTGACCACGGAGCCGCCAGACCGACGTCCAGAAGGATTGCAAAAAAAACCCAGGATTGCAAAAAAAAACAGGATTGCAAAAAAACCCGAAGGATTGCAATCCTGGGTTTTTTTGCAATCCTTCGCTCCTTCTCTCATATGTACGAAGTTCTGACTGCAGGCATTGTTAGGGAAAAATATCGTGTCTCGTGCTTCGTGCTGTGCGCGGGGTATTTTTCCGAAGGTGCGCCCGAGGGAGATGGCCGTTCGGATGCCCGGTCCAGTTCGTCCTGCCCCGCTGTTTCCTCTTCTGCGAGTGGGCCGCGGAGTGTCCCGCCCCGCTGGTGTCACGGTGGTGTTTCGATTGTTTGGTCGGAGTGGGTTTGTTGTTGGTATCCGGATGGTGTTCCGATGGTATGTTGGTGATAAGCCATTGTTCTTCCGACAGTCGGGTGGTAGTGTCATGATGGTTTGTTCGTGGTTTCTCGATAGTGCCCCGACGTCCCCCGGAATGGTCTTCAATTTTCGCTCTTTCGTCTCAGCCTGGGTTGGGGCCAAGCTAGGGGATCCATCCGTTTTCTGGGATCCTGGCCTGGGGCCAATTTCGACGTCGTGTGTCTGTTATAATCATGCAGCGTTCTGTTGTATGTCTGCTTTGGTGGGCCCTTCTGAGGCCTTGGGAAGAACCTTGAATGATGCGCCCCTTCATATGAGGTGAGGGGGAAATCAAAGGGCAGGCCTGGGAGTTTCTTGCTGCACGGAGGATTTCAAAGAGCACCATACGGAGACAAAGGTTCACTTCGTGATCACCGTTACAGAGGCGCAGATGGCGTCACTTGAGCGCACTGGTCTAGACAAGGCTTTCAAGCTCCGATCCGCTCTGTCTACGAACAACATGTACTTCTTCGACAAAAACGGGAAGATTCGCAAATACGCGAGCGAGCGCGAGATTATGGAGGACTTCGCAGAGATCCGGCTGGAGTTCTACCACAAGAGGAAGGCCCACTTGCTGAAAGTGTTGCGGCAGCAGCTCGAGATCCTCGCCGCAAAGGCGCGTTTCATACAGCTGGTTGCCAGAGAGGAGCTCAAGGTGAAGAATCGCAAGAAGGAGGCCATTGTACAGGACCTCGTCAAACACAAGTTCCGCACGCTCCACGAGATTACCGAAGGCAGTGATATAGACGTGCCTGGCAGCAACGACGGAGACGGCGCCGGCGACGAGGACGCGACCAAAAGGGACAAGAAGAAAGGTGGAGGTTGGGAGTACTTGCTGGGTATGGCCTTGTGGTCCCTGACACAAGAGAAGGTCCTCGAGCTCGAGGCCCAGGTGCGGACCAAGGAGGCCGAGGTAGAGGAGCTGGAGCTCACCGCCCCTGAGGACACCGGGGGCAACGGACAAAAACGACGAGTCAGGCAGTGAAGCGCGCGAGGGTGCGACACGCCCGCCCCAGGGGAAGGCTCGCGCGCCAGGGTGCGCCCGCCCGCCCCTCTCACCGCCCCCGGAGCTGTGCTCGTCGATCCGCTGTTCGCTTCCCACTCGCTCGGCGAGTGCGGTGCTGGGCGCTTCTCGGGCGCAAGCATCTCTTTCGTTTGTGCACTCCCACCCCCGACGTCCACACCCCGGATGTCGCGAGTTCTGTCCACAACGTGGGGCTCTGCATGTCTCTCGACCGCTTCCCCGGGACGATTTAACCCTTCCGCCGTGAGGGGGTCTGGGTCAGGAGATCTGGGAGCGCGACCTCGACGCGATCCTGGTCGCCCTGACCGAGACCGAGGAGCACGCGCGCCGCAACGCCGGCGAGGAGCAGAGGATGCGGGAGCGGGCCTCCAAGCGCGCGGCCAGCTCGGCCTCTGGCGGCGGCAAGCGGCAGAAGGTCGCCGCGGCGCCCGTCCTGCCGCCGCCGGCCGCGGGGACGGCGCCCTCGAGGGCGGCGCTGCAGGAGCTGCAGGCGCGCCAGCTGGCCCGCACGGTGCCCGAGTGCCCGGGCCTCTTCGACAGCCTGCTGCCCTCCGCCGAGGTGCAGCGCCTCCAGGCGCAGCACCAGAAGCTGGCGGACAAGTCGGCGGCCGCCGCCGGCGGCGGCGAGGCCAAGCCCAAGGCCGCCCCCAGCGCCAGGCCGGCCCTGGGCGGCTTCGCCCGCAACGCCGCTCGGGGGCGCGGCCGCGGAGGCCGTGGCCGAGGGCGGGGTGGCGCGGACGACGCCGCTGCCGCGGGCACCAGCGGAGGCCGCGGCCGCGGCGGCAGGAAGCGCAAGCAGGGGTGCGACGGGGACGACGACGAGGACTGGGCCGAGGACGAGTGAGTGGGCCGCGCAAGCCCTGCCCCTGCAGTGGAGGCCCATGCCAAGAGACACCCTGCTTGCCTCCAGGGTGCCCTGGGTTTCTTGGGTTTCGATGGTGTTGCGATGGAAAGCGCGACGTTCCCACACCAAAAGTCCAGGGACGTCCTGGTATCCCAGGGTTTGGTTTCTTGTGGAAGGTTTCTTGTGGACTGGCCCCCGCAAAATGTGCAAACGTTGTTTTTGGGGAAAAAGCCAGGACGAAAAATCGGGCCCTGGGAAAGGGCCAGGATTTCCGGGGACCCCGCGTCGAACAAAACAATACGTCCAAGGAGGTCCTGGTATCTCAGGTTTGGGTTTCTTGTGGAAGTTTTCTTGTGGTCGGCCCTCCACTGTATGCTCAAGCAGTGGCGAAGCATCCTGGCGTGCCTATAGGTCTACCAAACAATTTTCTAAGAACTTTTTGTGGCTTCCACAAGATGTTCTTAGAACCTTTCTGGTTGAGACGGTCTTGTTTGAACACACCGGGTTCATGTTCTAAGAACCGTATTCTTGTTATCGGCACATTCGTGGGTTCTGAGAACATGTCGTGGCATGCCTATGGGAATGCCGGAACGGTCTGCCCCTGCTCAATCTGCAGCATCGTCGCCGCGCCGTGCTGCCGGCGCCCCCGCCGCGCGGCAGCGTCACCGCGCGGTGTCTGCGGCGGGGGCTGGCGCCCAGGGTGGCGGGCAGGGCCCGCATTCGGTCGGGCCCGTCCCTCTGCAGGAGGGATCTCCAAAAGTCGTCCACAAAAATACGATGAGGACGATTTGTGCTTACTGTTTCCGAATATTCCTGGGCATGTTGGTGCATTTTTTTCCAAAAACAACATCGTTCAAAATCCACCTGTAGGGGGACACGCCCGACCCAGGGTCAGCACCGCCGCAGCAGCAGCCCGCCGGAGCGCAGGATCCCCGAGAGGAGCCTGTCCGCAAGGCCGGGGCGCCGTCGCCAGCGCGGGAGAAGCAGCAGGCGCGCAGGCTTCCGGAGGTCCGCACGGACTCCTCCTCCCCTTCCTCCTCCTCCTCCCCCCCCTCCCCTCCTCTCCCCCTCCTCCTCCTCCTCCTCCTCCTCCTCCTCCTCCTTCTCCTCCTCCTCCTCCTCCTCCTCCATCCTCCTCCCTCCTCCTCCTCCTCCTCCTCCTCCTCCTCCTCCATCCTCCTCCCTCCTCCTCCCCCTCCTCCTCCTCCTCTTCCTCCTCCGTCGGCCCTCCTGGGGGGGGGGCCTCTTGAGGCCTTCGGGGGGGCAGGACGACCAATGATCGAGTACAGCCAGGGCTACCTGGGAGGGCAGTTTGTGCGCAGCGCAGACCCTGTCCAATCCTGGATCATCGTCGAATCTAAAAGTCGTGCGTCGAACGTTTGAGGATTTACGCACGTTTGACTTTTTTCGCAGTTCCGACGGACATCTGAACGGATTTCTGATGTCGGCGCTGAACTCCCTCTCTCGGCGGCGAGCGAGGGGGGGAAGTGAGACGGGGCGGGCCTCTCGGAAGGCTTAAGTCGGGCCTGTTCCTCTGCAGGAGGAAAATTCGCCAGAAAATAGTCAGAGGACAATGTTTTGACTATTTTTGAATATGTTTGTGAATGTGTGGTGCATTCTTCAATTTTTATCCCAAATCCGCCTGTAGGAGGGCATGCCCGACCTAACAGAAGGCTCGGAAATCCTCCAGCCTTCTGAGAAGTCTTCTAAGCCCTCCCCGAAGACGCAAAACAACTTTTCAGAAGGCGCGAGGGCTTCTGAGAAGTCCCGCCGCCTTCTGAGAAGGCCTTCTTCTTCCTCTCATTTCCCCCCCCCTCACTCGCCGCCGACTCTCGCGGCGCCTCCGGCGCCATCCCTGGCGTTCCGCGCGCCGGGTGAGGTGGGTCAGCGCCAACCCACGACATCCGCGCGGACCTCCGCAAGTGCGTGTGCTGAGAAGCTGTGCGTTCTTCGGACCTCACGTCTAGGGTGAATTCGGGCGTGTCTCCCGACAGGAGGAACATCCAAAGGTAGTACAAAATAGTCCGGGAACGATGTTAGGATGACTTCCGACTTTTTTAGAACATCGTTTGACTGTTGTATATTCATCGTCCGGCATCCGCCTGTAGGATGACACGCCCGACCTCATGTCTGGGGCTGTCCGCCGCGCCCTCTGGCACGCGACGCAGCAGGCATGGGCAGGGCGGGGGGTGCGTCTGGGCGACCGTCCCAATCCGGTCGACGAGAGCTGCCGGGGCCCCGCCCGAGCGCCCCCCGTGGGTTGTGGGTAGCTAGCCTCGCGCTCAATGCCTGCTCGCAGTGCGCGCTCCGGAGGACTCCGCGGGAGTCCGGCCGCGCCGCAGTGCAGAAAAAGCAGACGTATACGGTGCTGCTCCCCCGGCCTCTCCCGTTGCCGCTATACCGCGGCCGCCGCCGCCGCCGCCGCTGCCGCTGCCTGCCGCCTGCCGCCGTTGCCGCGCCACTGCTGCGCTTCCTCCTCGCCGCGCCAGCTGCCTCTCCCTCCCCCCCCTCTGCTCCCCTCGCCGCCTCCTCCCCTTTCCCTCCCTGCTCCCCTCCCATCCCCCTGCTCCCCTCCCATCCCCCCCGCTCCCCTCTCCCATCCCCCTTTTCCTCATCATCCTGCTCCCCTCCCCCCCCCCTGCTCCCCTCCCATTCCCCCCTGCTCCCCTCCCATCCCCCCTGCTCCCCTCCCTCCCCCCTGCTCGCTTCCCTCCCCCCCCTGCTCCCCATCCCATCCCCCTTCTCCTCCTCATCCTCGGCCTCTGGCCCCCCCGCCCTCCTGGGCATGCGCAGCTGCCCCGCGCGCTTGGACCGCTCGCCCCCCTTGCCCCCCAGCACCCCCTCGGCGAGGCGCGGCGGCCCCCAGCGCGGAGCCGTATGCCGGCTCAGGGGCGCTCCCGCCGGTCGGCGACGGTCTGAGGCTCCCCTGCCGTCGTCATCCTCTTCTCGGCGGCGAGCGAGGGGGGGGGGGGAGGAGGGGCGGGCCATCGCAGGAGGCTCCGAAGTTCCCCAGCCTCCTGAGGAGTTTCCCAAGCCTTCTCCGAAGGCAGAGAAAACTTCTCAGATGGCGCCAGGGCTTCTGAGAAGGCCCGCCGCCTTCTGAGAACGCCTGCTCCTTCTCATTTCCCCCCCTCGATCGCCGCCAATCCTCCACGTCCTCAGCACCCTCGTCCTCCTCAGGTTTTGAAGCTCCAGTGGGGCCTTGGTCAGGGCTGGGGTCATAATGGGGAACCGCGTGTGTAAGTGCGGCCCTGGAAGCTGCCGACCGAGTGTTTGGCGCGGTCCGTCTGTCTGTTTTAAGTCGGGCGTGCCCCTCTACAGGAGGAGTATTCAAAAATAGTAAAGCAAAATAGACTTGGCACGACTTGCTTGATTTTTTCCCTACCTAGGCTCTGCCTAGAGAGTTCTTACCCTATATCTTAAAGGGGCCGGGCAGTGGGGCTCGCCCCGGGCGGTTCCCCCGGCATCCGCCCCGCGGTTCCCCCAGTTGTGCCCCTTGGGTTCACCCAGCTTAGCTTAGCCGTAGCTTAGCTTAGCTTTGCCTAGCCTAGTTTAGCTTAGCTTAGCTTAGCTTTACTTAGACTATATTATCTTAGCTTGGCTTGGCTTGGCTTGGCTTGGCTTGGCTTAGCTTAGCTTAGCTTAGCTGAGCCTAGCCTAGCTTAGCTTAGCCTAGCTGAGCTTAGCTTAGCATAGCTTAGCTTTGCTTAGCTTAGCTTACCTTAGCTTAGCACAGCGCAGCGCAGCAAAGCGCAGCGCAGCATTAGCACAGCATCGCATAGCATAGCTTAGCATAGCATAGCCAAACTTAGCATAGCATAGCATAGCTCAGCATAGCATAGCATAGCATAGCAAATCATAACATAGCATAGCGCAGCATAGCACAGCATAGCATAGCGCAGCACAGCATCCACTATTGCTGCTGTACTGCATCATAGCGAGCATGTTGCTTTCTTAGAGGCTCCAACTCCTAGGTAGGGTCGCACTGGGATAATTTGGATTTTTGTTTGAGTATTTCGGGCTATTTTGAATTTGTCCTCCAATCCGCCTGTCGAAGGACATGCCCGACCGAAGTCTGTTTCTGGGTCCAAGGAGATCGGCCCTGAGTCCCACTGCGAGGGCCCTTCCCAGCAGCTGCCGCAGGCGAGAGCTTCAGCCTCGTCCTGCCCCCCCCGCAACGGCGGAGCCCGAGCTCTTTGCCGGGGTCGCCGTGAGTGTGCTGGTCCTTTCAGCACTGGGGCTCTGTCAGCTTTCGGACCTCTTTGCGGACTCCTCGTAGGCTTTCGCCACTGGTGCCAGCGAGGGTGTGCCAGGGCCCCCCCCCAAGGTTTCTTGAGCCCCTTTTCGTGCTGCCGGTCTCTGGTATGCACAGGGGGTTTCCAGGTTGTGGTTGCCTTCAGCCGCCTTCGTCCAGGTTTTGCCTTTCCGCCGCCTCAGGTCGCAAAGTCAGTCGGTGTTCGTTTGCTCGGACACCCTCCTGCGGCTCGCTCGACCCTCGTCCTCCTCGTTCATCTTCGTGACGTCCGCCTGCTCCTCCTCGTCGTCCTCGTTTTCTCGTTCTCTTCCTCTTCATTATTATTGTCATTCGTATAGTTACCATTATCATCAGCACCCTTATCCTCATCATCATACTCATCTCATCCTTCCTTCTCCTCCTTCTCCTCTCTTCCTCCTCCTCCTGCTGCTCCTCCTCCTCCTCCTCCTCCTCCTCCTCCTCCTCCTCCTCCTCCTCCTCCTCCCCCTTCTCCTCTTCCTTCTCGTTATCGACACATCACCACCATCATCATCATCATCATCGTCATCATCACCACCATCATCATCATCATCATCATCATCATCATCATCATCATCATCATCATCATCACCAGCACACTCCGCATCCTCATTCAGCGCTAGTTGCAGTTACAGTCTGGCTCCACGCCGCGCGAGCCAGCGCCAGGGCGACCCATACGGATCCTCGAGCCCTCGGCCATCTCCGCTGTTCCGTTGTTGTTGTTCTCCGCCTCCCCACGGCGGCGCCTCGCTCTCACGACGCCCGCCAGGCCGACCCGCATCTTCCCGCCCTCAGCAATATTCGGTGCTGCGTGTTTTTCATCTCCGTCTCCCCGCTGCCGGTGACTCCCCGGCAGGGCTGAACCTAAGCGGTGTTTTGAGCGATTTCGTGGGCCGTTTTCGTTTCGATTTCGTTTTGCGGCGACGGCGAGTCGAAGACAAAGGCGAGGGAAAACGAACACAATGCGAAAACGAAAAACACCGTCTAGGTTCAGCCCTGCTCCCTGGCACCACTCCCGGCCCCTGCGAGGCAACAGCGCAGAGGCGGGCGCACGCCGCCTCTGCACCGGCGCGCCGTGCAGTGGCTTTCCTATTCTCATGTCGTGCAAACTAAAAAATAAAAGAAACAAAACAAATATGTCAACAAATCTAATGTCGTGCAATTTGCACGTGGCTGCCGCTCGACGCGGCCTGCGGCAGCCCTGCAGTTGGCCTTGCAGGCTCCTGCCGAGGACACTGCTCCGCCTCGCGGAGATGCACACCATCGTCTTCTTCCTGGCAGTGCCACTGCTGCGGAGGCGGCTCCTTCGACAGGCGCTCCCAACCCACAGCATCGGGGGCAGGATTCCTGGAACGCCCCAGCCGCTGCTGTACGTGGTGCTGCTGCTCCTTCTGCTCACAAGGAACCTTCACAAGCAAAGACCATGCTTTTCCTGTAGTCGTACCTGCTCGTGGATGTCGTCACGAGATTCAGCGTGCCAGCGTGCTTCCGCTCGACGCCTGCGTGGCCGCGATGATCCCGCCAGCCGAGGGCACGGTGCGCTGCCGGGCCTGGACCGATGGCGCATGCGTGCGCCCGACGGGCCCGTTGCTGGTCCGTCCCCGAGTAGGCCTGCGACTGAGGATGCCGCAGACGTGTGCATCGACCACGGCAGCGGGGTCGACGCGGCATAGAGTGCGCAGCGCGCCGAGCTAACGGCGGCCGTGCAGGCGCTCCGAGCCGCCCAGCAGCCCGCCGAGGTGGGAGTCAGTTTGTCCGCAAGGAAGTTTGCGCAGTCATGCAAGCGGGTTTCAACACGAGAACGGTCGCACGCTGTCGCTGCGGGAGCTCATTGGGTGCCACTGCCAGGCGCCAAAGGCGCGCTCATCGTCAAAGGCGGCAACCTCGTGAATGGCGACCTCATCTTGTCACGAGCTGTAAAGTCAACCTGCGTAGTACGCATAAGCGCCTCTCCAAGGCTACCCTTGCATCCTTTCCCTTCGGCCCATCCTTGGCCGCTTTCGCTGGCCGCGCCCCGCCCGCAGAGTCTCGACATGGCCTTCCAAGGCCCTTGTTTCCTTTCAAGCAGAAGCGAAGCGTCCTGCCTCGCCTATAGGCCCACCAAAGAATGCTCTAAGAAACTTTTGTGATCTGCACAAGATGTTCTGAGGGCTTTTTTGGCTGAGACTGTCTTGGCCTAGCACGTCGGGCATATGTTCTAAGAGCCTTGTTTTTGTTCTTAGAACAGTTCTTGGTTCAATGAACATGTCGTGGTCGGCCTACAGGAATGCCAGGACGGTCGGTCCCTGCTCAATTCTTATCTCGCGCCCTTCTTATACGGATTTCGGCTGCAGCTTGGCGCGCGCTCGTGCCCCGCGCGAGCTGCTGCGGAGGAGCGCCGGCCTTTCGAGCTGGCGGCGCGGACCTGCTGCTGGGGGTCCTGGGCATAATGGCTTCGCTGCTGCCGGCTGCGGCGCCGAGGGCGCGGCCCGGGGCCGCCACGCGCGTGGCTGGCCTGGCGGGATCGTTTCTTGCATTCGTGTTGGGTATGGTTTTTGTTGTTGGTGTTGTTGGTGTTGTTGGTGTTGTTGTAGTTGTTGTTGGTGGTGTTGTTGTGGTTGTGCTTGTGGTTGTGGTTGTGGTTGTGGTTGTGGTTGTTGTGGTTGTTGTTGTTGTTGTCGTCGTCGTCGTTGTTGTTGTTGTTGTTGTTGTTGGTGTTG